GATAATGATGTCCTCTCCCCCAGCCCACCCACTCTGACCAAGGTCTTTCATAACCCTGTGGGGAGCTGCTGTCACTCCTGTGGTTTGGGAAGTGGCTCCCTGGGCCTCTTGCTGGGAACTTGGGCTGGGCGCTTCCCCCGGGCAGGGCAGGGGAGTCACCGGCTCTCTTCCCCAACTGAACCTGGAGAGGAGGTGGGGGAGCTGCCTGGATCTGGAAGAGGTTATTTAGGGCATGCAGATCCTCTCCCTGGGGGGCGGGGGGGGAGGCCCCAGGGAGAAGGGTGAGCTGGCACCTTCCTCCACCTTGCTCTATAGCAGCCAAGTCTTCTCCTGACCCGGAGAGGAGTCTCTGGGCCCCATCTCCCGGGGAGGAGGGCAGCGTGTAGGCTACTGTGATTGGCTGGCCGGGAAGCCAGGGTATTGGGGCCCCCGAGTGCTGCTTGTCGAGGAACAGGATTCCTCTTCCTGCCAAGTAGCTCTCAGAGATGGGAGTAGGAGGCCGGAGTTGGGAATCTGGGAGGCCCCACAGCTCTTTGTGATGAATCTGGTAGTTTTTGGCAAGTCTGAATGTGGAGCTGGTTTCCAGGGCTAGTGAGCAAGATGTTTTTGGAGGGGTTTGGGCTAGAGGGTAGAAGGGGACTTCCTTTCAGTGAGAAGATTGGGATGGTGTGTGTGCCTTTATGTGAGGGGAATTTTTCAGAACAGGCAAAAAGTCCTCGTCCCCGACTCCCTGGGTCTGAGCTGGGGGTGGAGCTCCTAGACTTCCTAGAAGGTCAGAGCTGGACAGGACTTCAGAGAGCTCCAGTCAGTCCAAATCCTTGAGCCACAGAGAAGGTTGGGGCTCAGAGAAGGAGAGGGTCCTGCCTCCGCATTGCACTGAGGCTGATGAGGAGAGCTTGGGTGTTCTAGCTAGCTCAGGTGGCCTCTTAGGTTAGGGATGTGAGGGAAGCTGCTAAAGGTGTGTTCTCCGCTGAGATTCTCAAGAGTTGGCTGGATACAGAGTAAGGTGGCTGCCATCCCTCATGTAGCACCCTTCCTCCCCACAGGGAGAGCCCCACTGCAAACTGCCTTCCAGGTGTTTCCTTAGAGGCTAGGTGCTTTCTGCTCACTTCGGAGTTAGGAGTTACACCACTGGGACAAGCACTGGGAATAGAACACTAGCTTCTCTGCCCAACTTCTGGCTGCAGACCAGGGTGTTTCCTGTGGGGCTCTGTGAGAGATTTAAGAGGATGACACCTAGGCGGGGGCCTGGAGCAGGACAGCTGGGACTGGGGGCCTAAAAGAGGTTGGGTCGGGTTGCCATTTTGACCTCAGTAAGGGGTCAAACCCATGAGTTCCTTCCTGAGATAAAACAATGAAGAAATCCTCATGTGTGCAACTCAGAAATGGGGCCCCGGCTGGGAAACCCAGTCCAGTGGATTGGGGTGGGGCTCCCAGCCTCCCTCCAGGATCTAGCAGTGGTAGAGAGGCTAGGGCAGGTGGTGAGATGGTTTGGTCCATCAGGGATCATTTGGACCCATCCAGTCTTGCTTGGCTTACACTTCTCTTCCTGAGACTGAAATGGTGCTGGGCATTCTGAGTTCCAGCCAGATAGGTGGAGTAGGGTGCTCCATCTCAGGACCCACCCCTGATGTCCCACCAAGGGGATGTGGGTTGGGTTGGGCAACCTCCACTTTGAGGAACCTCAGGGTTGGCTCAGTGGCTGTGTCACAGGAGGCGTGGCCTCATGCTCTCCCCAATTTCTTCAAAAGGTGTGGACTTGGCTAGGATGCTGAGTTAGGGGAGAGGCTGGTGGTGATCCCCCTCTCACAAATCCTTGGGCTTATGGAGTCTTTCTGCTTAACACTAGAGGAGCCTCAAGTGCATGGTGATGCTGGTGGTATCTGCTGCTGCAGTCTTGTCTTTCAGCCCTGGCTGGAGAGGTGCTCAGAGGACATCAGGGGGTGGCCTGGATTATTGGCCTCCAAAAGATAAACCAGCAGGATTAAGAGAGGAATCCACATGAAGCATGTGGTTTTGGTACATAGGAAATAATCAGTAGATGCTCAAAGCAAGTGCCCCCACTTCTTCCTTGCCCTGGACTCCCCATTCCACAGTGCCAGTCCCTCAACTCAAGCAGTATTCCAGTCCTGATCTTCAAGTACGATGGGCTTCCTTCACCGTGAGACTTCGTTTTACTCTCTCCCCTTCCCTTTAGCCACTGACCCCACCCTCTTCCTCAACCTCCAGGACTGGGAGGTGCTGGTCCTGGGGAAGCTCAAGTGGGACCTGGCCGCGGTGATTGCCCATGACTTCCTGGCCCTGATTCTGCACCGGCTCTCTCTGCCCCGTGATCGACAGGCCTTGGTCAAAAAGCACGCCCAGACTTTTCTGGCCCTCTGTGCTACAGGTAAGAATCCTACACACATTTTTGCCAAGCTGGGGAAACCAGACTTGGAAGGGTGAGGGGTAACTAGGAGACTGTGGTTTATACTCTTCTCAAATTTTATTTGTAAAAATTATACTGTCAGCCCCTAGCCTCAATACAGAAAAGCAGCAGAACATAGAGTTGTATGGGATCTCAGAGACACCCCACACCCCGGTATGCTGGTGTGGACACCAAGTACTTAGAGAGGAACTAGCCCAGGGTCTCACAGTGACTAAGTTGGGAGCAGACTCTGTTCTCTTAACCCTAATTTTGTGTCCACACTGGGGTGAGACTCACTCCCTGGTCACTGGCCAAGATCACTTATGGACAGGCCACTCTGACCCCGACCCTGTCTAGGAGAGCCCTCCTTTCCTGCCTCTTGCCCCTGCTGCTGTCTTGCACCACTCACTGTCGGCAATTTCCAGTACACCGCTGCTCTGTTCATACTCCTGGGCACTTTCTGGGGAATAGAAGGTACACGCTGGTTGTTATCCTTGAAATCTTCCTTACCTCATGGTTCCCTCTTCATCTTTCCAAGATTACACCTTTGCCATGTACCCGCCATCCATGATCGCTACGGGCAGCATTGGGGCTGCAGTGCAAGGCCTGGGTGCCTGCTCCACATCTGGGGACGAGCTCACGGAGCTGCTGGCAGGGATCACGGGCACTGAAGTGGTGAGTGCTGGGCAGTGGCCTCGGTTCACAAGGCAAAGCTATTCCCTGAGCCTCCAGCAGAGGGAGCGATCCATCCCTAATCTGGTCCCCACTCCTGATTTCAAGTTCCCCGCCCTTAGGGCTTCTGTGGCCTTTTATCTCCTGCCTTGGTCTGGAGAAGAGCATCTTGGGTGGGCTGAAGGTCACCGTCCCTGGGTACCCTTTTCTTACCAAATGGTGTGCAGGAGTGGGGGTGGTAGGGCATTCGGTGTCAGATGCCTGGCTGCTCTCACACCCTCTTGCCACATCCTCTTGCCAGTTTCTGAGAATTGAAGGCTGATTCCTGGGGTTGGGCTGTGGCCTAACCTCCCCAGACTTCCCTGTGTGCTGGGAGGCGTCCTCCTGTACCTGTTGCCAGATGCTATGGGGGGAAGGAAGTGCACCTTCCTCACTGTTCCCCCGTTCCTAGGACTGCCTGCGGGCCTGTCAGGAGCAGATTGAAGCTGCCCTCAGGGAGAGCCTCAGGGAAGCCGCCCAGACCTCCCCCAGCCCAGCGCCCAAAGCCCCCAGGGGCTCCAGCAGCCAGGGGCCCAGCCAGACCAGTACTCCCACAGATGTCACAGCCATCCACCTGTAGCACCAGAGAGGCCCCCTCGAGTGGCCTCCGACAGCAGAGGAGGGGACACTGCCACCCCCCTCCCTGCCAGCAGGAAGGAACCACGCCACATCTGAAGCCTGAGGGGGCTCCTCCTTACTCACCCCTTGTGAGCCGAAGGGGTCAGGTCCTACCTATCCCTGCAGTGTGCACTAAGGGGACCATCCAGCTGCATCTAGCGGCCAGACGACTCTTTCTCCCTGCATCTAACCAGGTCAGCTCCTTCCCATTCTAGCTGGGGATGGGCCAGGCTGAGGCTGACCAGAGATGAAATTGAAGTTGGTAAAGTACCCGTACCAGCAATCGTTTTGGGAGCTCCCTTATCCCTGGGGCTCTCAACTGCCAAAATGCCCTGGTGCCTTGTAAAGGTGTTACACCTTCTAGTTACTACATTTAGATTGGGGTCTTTCTGAAGAATCCTCAGATGTTCTAGACATGTGTGAGGAGAATCTGGACATCTCTTCTCAAGGCACTTGGAGGCCCCTGCATAATCCGTGCTCACAGCTGCTCCTAGAGGGAGGGGCCTGGCCTCTGTCCGAGGGGCAGGAACCAACCTCCTTGCTTTGCTTTCTGCTCAGCTTCTCCTGTGTGATTGAGGGGAAGGGGGGGAGGGGCACTGCCGAAGGAAGAGGTTGTTTTAATTTATTAATTGCTTTGAGTATAAGAGGGTGTGGTGGGGCCCATTTACCCCAAAAGTGGTGGTGACCCTGGTGGTTGCTGCATCCCTCCCCTCTGCTACTGGCTGGAGGACCTGTGTGGCCGAGGAGCTGCTACAGCCTGCGGTGGGGCCGTGCCCTCCTCTCCCTTTGGTCCTCTGCCCGGTCCTCCAGGGTGGGGGATGAAGCAGGGATGACCTGGAGGTGACTGAGCTCCCTGTCTGGAGAGGGGGGCAGAAGCCCTGTTGACACAGGTCTTTCCTGAGGCCACAAGGTCCAGGCTGGTGGCTCAGGACCATCATGCTACCTTAATAAAGATTCTGGAATAAAACTGGCTTTGGCTTCTTGGATTGGAATGATGGGATGGGCAAAAACCTATTTCTGGACTGCATAGGGTAAAGAAGGCAGAAATCAATGGTCTTAAGCAGGGGTTGTCAAGCCTTTTCTATAAAGGACCAGTAAATACTTTAGGCCTTGTGGGCCCTATGGTCTCTGCCCCAGATATAGTCAGTTCTGCATTATAATGTGACGTGCACGTTCCTAAAAATCACTGCACCATGCAAAATTGCACAATAAAAACCACAGGGCTCAAGGGGAAAATGGGGCTTGAGGAACAATACTCAAAATCTTAATGAGTGACACATTTTTTTTAAAAGAAAGAGGATAGCCATTTGTACATATTAAATGGTTAAGAAACACATACTACAATAAATATGGCCCTTCATCTTGAAAAACAAACACCTGAAGTTTGCTTGTGGAAGCAGAGGTCGGAAGGATGTGGGAGGTGGGTTGTAATGCCAGATGTGGGTGTGGCTCCCAACCCACAAGGTGAACGAATAACTGGTACTTGTTGGAGGTACCTGCATTTTGTGTGTTCTCTGGCTTGGCTCAGCGGGGTACAGTCTCCTGCTCTCATCTAGTGTTTCTCAAAGACAAAACTGCATATAAATGTGAAATTTGGGCAGGGGGTATATAGCTCAGTGGTAAAGTGCATGAAGTCCTGGTACCTCCACCAAAAGTAAATAAATAGATAAACCTAATTACCCCCCCAAATCTTTTAAACGTGAAATTTGCCTTATGATCAAATTCTTCCCAAACAACAAAGGTTCTAGCCAGATTGTACCCACCTCTGCTGCTGTTAACATCAGAGTGGCCACAGAAAACATGTAAACGGGGGTGGGGGTGGGGGCGTGGCTGTGTCCTAATAAAACTTTATGGACACTAAAATCTGAATTTCATATAATTTTCACCTATCACAAAATACTGTTCAATTTCCCCAACCATTTAAAAATATAAAAATCATTCTTAGCTCACAGGCCATAAGGAAAGGGACATTTGACCCTCATCTGCCAACCCCCGGGCTAAAACTTTCATTAGCTAAGAAACTTAGAAAGGGAACTGGTCTGGTGGTGACCCTGGATCCAGTCATTCCTGGGCCTAACCTTTCAGGCTTCTATCTCCACTTTCCTCTGGGGGCCTTCTCCTAGCTCTTCCATCCACAGCTGAGACTACCTTGAACAATCTCTTGACTGCTGGCATTCTTGCAAAGTAGCCTGTGTCAGGGGAATGCAGAGGAAAGGTCCCGCTTAGAGAAACAAACTTGCAGAATAAGAAGGGTGGGGATCCCATGTAAATCGCTTAAGAATCTACTCCTACACAGAGCAAGGCAGTAGTGCCCACCTCCAGCTATAGAGGGCAAGCAGAAAGATCTCCATCCATCACATCAAAACACTGAAGTTCAATAAATACCCACCTTTTGTTTTTATCCACATTCCAGTGACCGAGTGACAAAAGCCTGAGAAAAAGTACCTATTCCAACCCCCAGCTGGGACCTGGGAGTGCTAGGGTGTGGCATCTCAAGTCAGATCCCAGAACTGAGCAGGGATGCAGGCCCAGAATGGAAGGAGGAGCCAGCCAGACTTGGGCCTCCCTGACAGGTGCTGGAGAGTCAGATGCCCGTGACCTCTCACAGCCCTCAACTGGGTCTTCAGCTGGAAAGGCTCAGTGTCACTTTTAGTCACCAACAGGAATCCTGGTGTCCTCCCATGCCCACCCCTCAGACGAGGACAAGTGTCACTTCCTCACTCCATGGTGGCAGGAACATCTTCTACATCTCGAGGGACGGCACTCTGAAGCTCACGCCTGATCTCTGGAGACAGTTGGGGATGGGGCTGCAGCCGGAGCAGTTCCAGGAGGGCCTCTTTCTGCTCCGTGGCCAGGTCTGCCTTATAGCGCTGGACCAAAGTCAGGAGGCACTGGTGCCAAAGCACGGGCAGCTCACGCTTCTCCGTTCGGAAGCCTAGGAAGTGGAAGACCAGGGCGTCCAGCACCCGGTAGGGCAGCGCGTACTTCTTATCCAGTAGCAGCCGCAGGAAGATGCTGTTGGCACCGCTGTACTCCATCTCTGCAATCTTCAGCATGGCTGCGCTGGGGGTGGGGGGAGACGCTGGAGGAAAATTCTCTGCCTTCTCTTCCAGCCCTCACACTCTGCTATTCCTAAAGGGGAAGTCTCCTCCATTCTTCTCACCCACTCAGTCTTACACCTGCCGGACTCCAGTTACCAGCCCTATGCTGAGTCAAGCCAAATCCCTACCTCTGGTGCAGACTGCTGGTCTCAGTATCCGACTAGAATATGTCCAAATGCCCTGAGATCGCCACTCCTGACATACTTTCTTCCCATGTTCCCCATTCATTCACACAACTATTTACTGAGCATCTACCATGTGCCAGGCCCTGGGAGCCTGTTCCTGGAGGACTGACATTCTTGTGGAGTAATGATATACCCACTGGCTTAAATGAGCCACAAATTCAGGCTATGCTTAGGTCCTTCCCTACTCTGTTCCCCCACCACTCCCTCCACCCTCACCAACACTACCTGGAATGCAGCACCGGGATGGAGCATTTGGTGATGATGCTACCTACGATGATGGCTTCCCGGAGGGTACAGGTGCCCGACTCGCACAGCGGGATCAGGATCCCTGGGGAAGGGCAGAGGGACAGTCACTCTGAGCCCAGGGTGAGATAAAGGAGGTACTGTCGGGGCTCAACCTCTCTCTCTCTTAACCGCCTCCTGGGCTCCCACCTTTAAACCAGGCTCCAGGCTTGAACAGAGCCTTCTTGAGGGCCATGTAGAGGTGGAAGTTGAGTCGTTTGTATTCAGCAATGTCGTCTCGCACCCGGGGGAGAAGCACCAGGTTGTAGAAGCGCTGGGCCATACGTTCCTTTAGGTTAGAGGCGAAAATCCTAGTGTTTTTGGAGGGAAGTGGGGGGAGATCATAGGTTACCTGGTAGTCACCCTTTAAATATCGCTGTGGACAGTACATGCCGGAGACGAAGGGCATGTGGGAATGAGCTGCATGCAACAGCCCGGTCAGATTAGAGAGGGAACAGATTAGAGAGGGAACAGGAGGGGCTGTGAGACATACCCAAACAGGGTGAAAACACTGTCGTCTCTGGGTGAGCCGGAACTCTCCCAAACAAGACAGGAACACAGCTGTTTACCTCCCTGTCTCCATCAGGGGTCCCCTCTACCCTGCTGTCACCCATGCACACTAAGGGAGCCACCAACCTCTGAGGCCACCCTGACACCCCAGGGTGGTATCCCCATAGTTGGGAGCCTCTCCCCTAGGACCTCATCAAAGGAGATTTTTAACAGGGTCTTGGCCCCAAAACAGCAAACAAGAAAATGGTGACATGGAGAAGCACAGAACAGAGCTCTGAGGGCAGAGCTGGGATGTAACGGCAAAAGGAGGGAGAGCCCGTACTTCTCACACCCAGCCCTTCCCTGCAGAGCCAAGGCTGCCCTGATCCCCCATCTTCTCTACCTCGTGGCTTGGTACATGGCAGCTGCGGTCCAGGCCTCGGGCTCTGTGACGTAGAGGATTTGCTCCCAGTTGGACAGGGCAGGGATGATCTTAAACGCCTTGGGCAGTTTCCCACTGCGGTACTTGGACAACACCTGGGGATGAGAACAAAACTCATCGTCATTAACACATGCTGCTTGCCAGGTGCCACGCGCCAGGTATTTGTCTGGGTGCCTCTCATACATTAGCTCACTCAATCCTCACAACAAGCCTGGAAGGAGATGCTGCCATCAGCCTCATTCTCCAGGGACCAGAGAGACCAGAGTCAGCAGGCAGCAGAGCAGGAACCCGAAGCCGTGCACTCTGACCCTGAGCCCACTCTCAGCCACCAGGCCTTGTTTCTACAAGACGTGGGCCCCCACAGCCCCTGTGAGGGTGTCCCATCATGACTCTTACCTCCCGGACCCCTCGGTAGACCTCCAGGACCCGGGGGTCCAGCTGGGGCAGAGGGAAGCCTGACACCTCAGACATGACCGTCTCGACCTCCGTCTGCTTCTCAGTCAGCTTCTCCATGATGATGTCAGCCAGGGTGCGCCTGGGATGAGAGGAGGGAAGAGGGCGTAAGTGCCGCACTCACAGTCCAGGACTCTCAGCGCCCCCATGGTCCCCCGTGAGCACCGATAAACCTGCGATCTGGCTGGGATGCCTCAGTCCCCTTCTGGGCCCAACCGCCTACCAAAGAGTCTCTGCAGAGCACAGAGGACAGGGGAGTCATTCAGCTCAGGACGAAGCTGACAGCTGTGTGGAGGCTAGGAACCTGGACTCTGAAGTCAGTCCGCCTGGGTTCAAATCCCGGCTTCTCCGCTCCCTATGTGACCCTGGGCATGCTACTCTGTCTCTCTATGCCTCACTTTCCTCACATGTAAGACAGGAGTAACAAACTACCTGCCCTCGTAAAGTTAACATGAGGATTAAATGAGTTAATGTCTGTATGTGACTGCTGGTACAGAACAACTGCGTAATCACTGCTGCCAACCGTGAACACACCCACCGCTGATATGCTGAGGTCTCTCCAATTACAAAGTCCTGCGCTGACCTCTCCAGAGGGCCAGACACACTTCAGTCATATACCAAGATCACCAGCAGCTGGGATCGTAAGGGAGAGACTATGGCACCAACTTTCCCCCATTTTAATTCATTAAAATTAATGGAAATAGGAAATCAATGACCTATTTTTCTCAGCCTCCTTAAACAGTATATCAAACATAATCTGATTGTGATGATTCAGAATTATTGTTACATTGGGCCTTGGCGTAATAATGGCATCTTCAGGGGCTACCAAAGTCTTTGGAAAGCGGCTCCCGTTTTCAGAGGGCAGGACTTTCCAGATGTTCTCTCACATTGTCTGTGCGACACCTGTGCGAGGTGTGGTTATTCCCCTTGTTCAGACCTGGGAACTGACACTCAGAGAGGTCAGGAACTCACCCAAGGTCCCACAGCTCTCAAGTGGAGGAAAGAGTCAAAGCCTGCTCTTTCAGGGTCTGAAGTTCAGGTACTTTACAGTATGTACGTGCCCCCAGACTAAATGGCCTTTGACTGCTAATTCAGGTGGGTCTAGCTTGCTCTCTGAGGATGCCAGCTGCCACTTCTCAAGACTGTCAGGAGTACCTGTTCCTAGGAGCTTTATTCCTTTATTGACAACAAGCTGGAAAACCATTCTGCCAGGTTGTCAGAATGAGCAGTCAGAGAGGAGTCACAAACCTGAGTGAGAACCTGAAGGCTCTCTGGTGGGACAAGCACACACTCTATGACATCTACTCCAGCTGCTGGGCATCAGTCTGGGAAAGGGGCTCATTTCTTCATTTTGCCTCTCAAGTTTGCTGCCACAGAACTTAACACTGTCTTTTCACAGTATTATTAGCAATGACCGGTGCACTAATCCCAAACAGCCTGAAGAACCAAAAGCAATGTCATGCTAATATCGCAGGGTCAAGATGAACTGACTGAGGGACTTTATCCCTGATTCCCTTTCCCTGGGCCAAAACCCATGGGCTCAGGAGTTTGACCACAGGAACTTAAAAGCCTGCATGTTTTGGACCTAGCACTTAACTACAGATGAGAATAAATCAGCGGTTCTAACTTGGGGTGATTTTTGCCTCCCAGGGGACATTTGGCAATGTCTAGAGACACTTTTGGGTGTCACAACTGGGGAGAAGGTCACTGCTGGTATCTAGTGGGTACACGTCAGGGATGCTGCTAAATACCCTACATTGCACAGGACAGCCTCAACCAAAAAGAATTATTCAGCCCCAAATGCCAGCAGTGCTGAGGCTGGAAAACCCTGTATAAAATGAAGCTCAGAGTATGAAAGGGATCTGGCCAAGGAAATTGAGCTTACCACTAAGAAAACTGAGCATAGCAAGAACAAACGCAACAGGACGGGTCTCCCAGAGACAGAATGAGGACCTGAAGCTGTCTCCCCAGGTAATCCAGGCAGCTCTAAGTCAGGTGGCCAGAGGAGGAGGAGGTATTTTGAGTCTGGGTCATTCTCACTTAGAGTGGTCCTTTGAGGATGGGCCACTTTTCTCAAGGCAGACCCCAACAAGAGCCCCACAAATGGCAACGCTCAGGCCCTTCTCAAAGGTAGGGAATCAAAACTGCCAGGACATACGCTTCTCTGAGTATGAGGTTGTTCCCTATAAAGTTGCTGCTGGGACCCGCTCTCCCAAATCGCAGGCTGTGCCAGCCTTACCTGGCAGGAGGGTTCTTGTTCATGAATATCTCAATGGCACGCTCATCCTCAGGGTCCACAGCCACCTCTGCATGGTAGTCTGGCCCTGTCATTGTGGCAGCTTTCTCCAGGGTGGGCCACTCCTCGTCATCTGATCCATCCTGTGGCATTCCTGGACCTGGAAGAGGGATGATGAAACAGGTGAGCATGGCAAGCAGTGGGTGAGGAATCCAGAGGTTAATTTAACTTTAACCACCATGTATATGGTCCTGGTCTTATACATACTTGTAACAGACAACAGACGTGTGTGGTGAGACACATGATGCACATGCTATCTGCTGGTCCCCATGAGTGTACAATCTTGCTTGAGAAACAGAATTTATACATATGAACCAATGAGACAGTGATAGTAATAAATAATAATTAACAATTATACTCAGTTATGTGGCACGAACTGTTCTAAACACTATTATCATCACACCCCCAGGAAGTAGGTACTGCTATACCCACTTTCAGATGTGCATGCTGAAGAACAGAAAAGTGACTTGCCTAAGGCAGGCTGCCTGGGTCTAGATGTGCATTCTTCTCTCTTCTGCACACATGGCGGGGCTTGGCTATATGCTAAAATGGTGGAGACGGTTTATACCACAGAAGGGACTCAGGTGATGAGTGCTGCAGATGGTTAGGCTCTGGACAGGCAGTATGGGAGCTGGAGGGGTGTGTTCCAGACCCAGGTAACAACACTGGCAAGAGGGCTTGTCTGTTAGGCAGTGGCAAGAAATAAGACTAGATGGGTAGAGGCTAGGGAGTGGAGTTGAGATTTCAATGGACAAACCCATCTGAGTAACTGATTACTGGAAGGCTACAGCTGGCTGAGCACCTGGGAAGGGATGTAATAATCTCAGTGGGGAAATAAAGTGTTACCACATGAGCAGGTCATTAGGAAGAGAGGCAGTGTGCCAAAAGCTACATAAGGTTGGGAGGGGTACACAAGCCAGGCGTTTTGTCTCTACATGCTAGTAACTCCCAAGGATGCGCCTGTAGGTGGATCTCCCTTGGCTCCAGACCCTAACTCCAGCTTCTCCTCTACAAAGGCACTTCAACCATCACCTGTCATCAGCCAAACTCACTCCCTTTCCCTCACAGGTCTACACTACTCACTGTGTTCCACATCCAAGTAAATGGCACCACCAACCAGCCAACTTTAAGCCAGACCCTGGGCGGCAGGCCTGCCTTGTCCCCTGCCCCTACTCCCAGCACCCAATCAATTACTAAGTCCTATTCGACTGTACTTCACAGAATTTCTCAAAGCCTTCACAGCCCTGTCGAAGCCCAGGTCAGTATCATCTCTTGCCTGGATTAATTTGACAATCCCCTAACTGTTCTCCGTATTCTCCAGCAGTCTCCCACTGTCCTTAGGGCAGCTTTTAATCCTGGGCATGGCCTCCACATCTTTTGTAGATCTGGTTCCTACCTACCTCACCATCATTCATTCAGCAAACACTGAGTGCCTGCTCTACGTGAGGCACTGTTCTAGGCACTGGAGCTATATTAGCTAACAAGAGAGACAAAAACATTTTGTCCTTATAGAGCTTACATTCTAATGGAGGAGACAGACAATAAAGTAATATAATACACATTAGGTTAAAAAAAAAGTGCTATGGAAAAACATATATGGCAGAGTAGAGAAGTTGGGAGTGTGGAGACAGCGTGGGGGTGTTGCATTTAACAGAATGGTCAGGGTAGGCCTCTCTGAGAAGGGGAAGAATGGAGGGAGGAAATCTACAGGCGTATGAAGACAGAAGGTACCACCAGGGCAAAGGCCCTAACTTGCCATGTTTAAGGAACAATGAGGCCTGTATGGCTGGAGTGAAGAGGGCAAAGGGAAAGTGGGAGAAGAGGTCAGACTGGCAACAGGGGCACGGCATATAGGCCTTCGTAGACCACTGTAATCCACAAGCTGTTGAGTTGAGTGGACTGTAGTGGGTATGGGTTACTAATTAGGGGGCTATTGTAATCATTCAGGTGGGAGATCACCATGGCCTGAACAGGATGGTGGTGTTCTAAGGTGGTGAGAAGTAGTCTGATTCCAAACATATTTTTAAGATTAAATCAACAGGATTTCCTAATAGATCAGAAGTGGAATGAAGAGGAGGGGAGCCTGAAGTTTCTGTCTTGAGCAAATAAATGGAAGGATATCATGGCAGTAATTGAGAATGAGGCAGAAAGCTGGGGGGAGCAGATCTGGAGCAGGATTTCTGTTCCAGACATATTAAATTTGAGACGTCTATTAGACTTCAAATTGGAGATGCCAAATAGGCAGCTGAAATGTAAGAATTTGGGTTTCATAAAAAAGGTCAGGGCTAGAATATGAACTTAGAAGCAGTTACCACTCATGGTATTTAAACCTTGAAACTGATGACAGCATCAGAGCAGTAAACAGAAAGGAACAGAAGAGGTCAGAGGACTGAACCCTATGGCACTGCACCGTTAAGAGGTTGGGAACAAAAGGAGCCAGCAGAGAATACTAAGGTGAGGAAGTAGTAAAACAGTTAGAAGCCAAGTAAAGATACAGGAGGCTAGTGTTCAGCTGTGAACACTGCTCACAGGACAAATGAAAGATGAGCTCTGAGAAATGGATTAAGCAACCTGGAGGTCAAAACTCCCAGCGTGTTAAGAAAAAATTGACCATCTTTTAATTAATCCCTCTCCCTAAACACTACTGTTCTTTCTGCTCAGGGCACCCCCCACTTTTCAGGTCTCAGCACAAAGGTCGTGTAATCTGGGAAGCCTGACCCCCAACACTAATGCTATTGTTATCAGAGAAACTGCACTTTCTCACGGAGTGTATTATTCAAATTGTCTATTTGTCTCTCTCTTGGTGTGGATTTCAAGATCCTGAAATCAGGTACCCGTCTATCTTGCTTACTTCTTTACCTAAAACATCTAAATTCCTAGCATAGTGGTATGTACGTGGTAGACATATCATCAAATAATTATAGAACAAAAGGATAAATGCTAGAACTTATTGACGTTAGCGATCACTTCCTGTTGGCCTAACCTCGGGGCTGCCTGAAAGCGAGTGCCTAAAAGTAGGAGTGGGCGTGGAGGGCTCTGACCACCATAAATCCGCCCCAGGGCTGGGTCTCTCATTCATACCTCTGCAAGGGTGTAATACGTAATGCCCCCCTCTTTTAAAAAATATTTCAAGTTATTCCCCTACCGGACACCTTTCAGCTGTCCACCCCGACTACCCACCCTCTTCCTCGCACCCACCCCCACCACTCACCCAGCCGCGTAGTGCGCTCCCGCGGCGCCGCAGGCCTGTCCGCAGTCCCATGCTCGGCCTCGAGCTCTTCCTGCTGCTGCCGCGCTTGCTGCAAAATCCGTCGGGTCAGCCGCGGCCCAACGTACTCTTCCTCCTCTTCTCCGGTTCCGCGACCGCGCCGCTTTTCCCGGGCCCCTGCCCGAACCGCGTCCCCAGCCAAGATTTGCTCGGCCAAGGGCGCATGCTTTTCCTGGCTCCCGGCCCCGCGGGCCGCCTTGAATTTGGGCATTTTACTTGAAAACGTTGCCGGGAAGTTACACACGTGGGGACGAAGGAAGAGCCCTGAGTGCGCTTGCTCAGTGAACTCCAAGTGCCCAAGAGGCCACACGGGGAGCACAACGCCCTCTCGCGTTCGGAGGCCGAAAGTACCACCAGCACCGCCCCACCTCCTAAAAGAGCTCACAGTTCCTAGAGCTGGATTTCAGAATAGACTCATTGCATTTAACGTTGGCTTCTCTAAGTGGTGGCAGTCCGAGCCACGCTTCCCTAGCTTCCTGGATCAAGGCCCAGTGTGCCCAGCCAAGTGGGAATTCCCCGAGAAGCGAGTCGGGCAGTGACGTCACTGGAGGCGCCCAGACACGCCCCCTTCCCTCGTGGGCGTGTCGACTGGGCGCTCTGGTTTTACGTTATTTCCGGAGCGCCTCCCCCCACCGAAGCTTGCATTAAGTAGGTGGCTTCACCAAGTCTGGGCTGCGGGAGAGTACTGCGTTTCAGCTGTTTGATCTTGCCATCCTCCACCATGGGAGTGACTTGGTAGGACTGCAAGGGATTTGGCGGGACGGGGCATGGGGTCGTGAAGGGTCCTCAGAAGGAAGATCGGGACCAGGGCCCGCCTTCCCCCGGGAGCTGAGCAAGATGTCCTCGGAATGTTTGGGTTGAGAGGGCCACCGTGAGGGTTGCAGAATCTGCGAGCCTTTTCCCGCGGAGACATGCCTCCTTCCTGCTGGAAGGCGGCAGGTTAAACGGTTTTATCTTAAGAATCCATTAATGGTCGTGTACTTCCTTTCTTTTTTTCTTGGTACATTTTCCTGCTCGTGAGGCCGTAATATCCTCGGGGTAGAACTTTAGGATCGGAAATAGGATGTCAGAACTGCAGGCAGGGCTGGATGGGTGGGGGATAGGCAACAAAGAGACATTCAGTATCTTCTTTAGGTTTTCACTTGCCCCTCCCTACAGCCGCCAAATGCATTTAGACCAGCCTGTATGTGGTTCTGGTTTGGGTGTTTAAGATCTTGGGTCTAGAAGGGGAGAAAATCTATTGGGAATTAGGAGTTTGGGATTCCAAGCATATCTCCTCTTCAGGACCTGCTTCCTACTATGTTTAATTACACAGTTGGTTTAGTTTGTACGGAGTTATTCCCTCTAATATGTTGTAAGTCAGGGTGGCAGGGAAAGGTATGGGCCAAATGCTTTTGGAAGCATTAGTTCCAAAATGCTAGATTTCAGGGCTTTAAAAAAAACATCGTGAGCATCTTTCCAGTCAGAGAGGGCTAGATGCCAGGATATCTGAAGTCAGTAGCTGCAGGCTTCTCATATAAGAGCCTGTGGGAACCCCTCTATATATAGCCCAGGTCTCGCACGTTTGTCAGTGACTGCACATTTGCTCCCTACACTTGACATCATGAGCCTCCTTCAAAGTCCTCTAGTGTAAAGGGGATATGAGGGATGAGAATGAAAAGTTTGCTACGCAGGGGTGTGGAAGCCTGGAAGCCCCTGTTCTTTCAATAACAGAAGGCAGACAGAGGGAAAAGGCTCTCTGTTGGGACCTTTCTCAACTTTTCCAGACTCCTAAGACTTCTGACCTCAGTAGCATCACCTTAGGGATTCTTTTATATTTCAAAATAAGGCATATCAGCATCATAATTGCTTGTTAGTGCTTTTTCTGGTGGAGAGTAATGACAATTTTTAGCAACAGTAGGACTCTTTATATCTTCATTTAGTTGATTATGATTGATCATAAAGTAATGTAGTGTCTCCCAAAATTCAGTTACGTATGACTGTCTTTATGGTTTTTATGTAGCGACATACCACTTGAATGATTACTTATTAATGTTTTCTTTTAATTCTATTTCTTTTTCTTAAAAAGCATTTTAACAGACAACTATATATCCCTTGGGACATAGTCTGGTCGAGTGGTTAAGAGCACAGACATGGAGCCAGCTCATATGGCTTTGAATCTTGACTAAACAACACCAAGCTGTGTGACCTTGTGCAACTTATTCAACCCCCTCTGTACTTAAGTTTTCTCATTTGTAATGAGATAATAATAGTATATCTTACAGGGCTGATGTGAGGATTCAGAATTAATTCACCTAAAAGCCTTTGGACACTGCCCGGCACATGGTTGGTGCTTGGTGATTGTTATCTCCTATTGTGAAGGAGAAGCCAGTTTCACTTACCATAGAAGGAAATCTTGGAAATAACCTTTTGTTTCATTGTTTTGATTAAATTCTGAAACATACTGTTGCCTCTCACTCCCAAAGATTATAAACTTGAGCTTGCCTTATCCTTCATCCTAGGACTATGTCTTAGGACTTTATACATTGATGGAAATGTGCTGTGTCACCACATCTAGTACCCCAGCCCCCAGGCACATGGGGCTGTCGAGCCCTTGAAATGTGGGTAGTGCAGCTGTGGCACTGAAATTTTAATATAATTTGTTTTATTCATTTAAGTTTAAATAGCCACACGTAGCTTGTGGCTACTGTGCTGGACAGCTAACGTTCAAATGTTAGGGATCTGGTAAAAACATAACAACCCCAAACTGAAGCTTCCTCCTTGATGTAGTCAGAACTGAAAGGAACACAAAGGAAAGCCCTCTCTCGTTATACAACTTAGTGTTATTGAGTGCTTAGTCTGTGCCACCTAAAATCTCTTGAATGTTGGCACACATGCCACACTCGGGAAATGCTGCACTGGTGTGAGGGTCCCTGAGTCCGTGTTCCAGTTCTTAGCGGCGCTCTCCGGGACTGTGGGCCTCTATTTCCTCATCTTTAAAATGAAGGGGTCAGGCTAGGTGGTGTCTAAGGTAACTCAAGGCTCAGTGAGTGCGCTGGTGTCTCTGGATACTGACAATTTGGTCCTTTCCCTTCCAGTGTGTCCCAGATGCCCGTGGCCGAGGGCAAGAGTGTCCAGCAGACCGTGGAACTCCTCACCCGGAAACTGGAAATGCTTGGAGCAGAGAAGCAAGGAACATTTTGTGTGGACTGTGAGACCTACCACACAGCTGCCTCTACCCTTGGCAGCCAAGGTCAGTGAGAGATGGGTATGTGGGGTGGCTGGAATCCGGTTTGGGGTTGATAGATGTTCCTGTTCATTGAAATCTTTCTGCTCTTGCTGAGGGTGGTATTCTTGGACGTGTGGCAGTTGTGTTTCTGAATTCATTAATTCTCGACTTCATCTCTTAGACTGGGCCTGTGTTGTAGTATTTTTGCACTTTGCACTTTTAAAGCAGTGTTTCTTAGTGTGATGGTGACTGACTAATTAATTGCTTCAGAATCATGTGGGTTACTTGTTAAAGGTGCAGGTTCCTGGCTCTACTTACCGACTGACTGGTAACCAGTTAGCCCCGCAGGTGAACTTTATGCACTCTACGGTTTGATAGACTCCTTTTAGGCTCAGCAGTCTTTGTATATGATTCTTTTGGAGCTTTAGAGGTTTTGGAGCTTTCTGTAGAAAGGCTTCCTGTTTCTCCCACCCAGCCAGTGGCCTTGGCTTCCTCATTAGCATAACCTTGATCAGTGATCAACTTTTGTTATAAATGTCTTTTGAGGTAAGATGGGCTGTGAGGGGTGGTGGTAGGAAGGTAAAGAGGATCTTTGGATAGGAGTTAGGGAATCTGGGTTCTTTTAGTCTTGTCTCTGCTGTAGCTTGACTGTGGACAGTTCCATGGCACAGTGACCAAAAGCCTAGATCATGGAATCAAATAGCTGAGTCCTGGCTCTGCCACAGCTAACTGCAACTTTAGGTGATTCCCGCAACCTATGACTGTTGGTCACTTGCCTGTTTCCCCAGAGAAGCATTCCCTGCACTTCTCTTGCAAACCACATTTGCCAGTTCCCCTTTTAGTTATCTTTCACCAGTGACAGGCACTGGGGAAGATTGAGGATGGAAGAGAGACCCCAGTCTCTCTCCCTCTCCCCCTGCTTTGGGGAGTGTCTCTGGCTGTGGCTTTGTCTCTTCCTTGGTTGGAGCTCCTGTTAAGCAGCCCTTGTTCCTGGCTCTAATAATAGCACATCTTCTCTTTTTCCTTCCAGCCTCAGGGATGGTTGTGGCTCCACGGGTTGCTAATCTTTTGGTGGTTTTACCATTCCCTTCATTTTTTCAGTTTTTCCACCTCCTGTACTTCCTTCCCTGTATTAAACCCCCTCTACTGAAACTGTGGGCTGTGTTTTGGCACCCTTCCCAATACAGTTCTCTTATCTGCAAAATGAAGATAATCACAGTACTTACCTCCTGGGGTGATTGTGCTAATTAAATAAGTTAGTACATGCAAAGCACTCAGAACTGAGGTTGTCATAGAACAAATATGAAATAAATGGTAGCTGAGAGCTTTACTGAATTTCATCATCAGTAAAACTACAGTATTTTTCTTTTGCCTTCAATAGGAAGAACACAGGAATCAAAAGAGATAATGGTTATGAAAGCACTTGGAAAACAAAACACCTGTGTGTAGATAAAAGCTGGCATGCTGCTTTTGCAAAATTCCTTGGCCTGGGCTCTTTTCCTGATGGGCCCTTTACTTTCAACAAGTTACAGTCTAGTTGGGGAAACACCACCTTTGAGGCAGACAGTGGGGTAGAATGGAAGGAGGTCAGGAGGTCTGGATTGGAATTCCCGTTCTGCTGCTTACCGGCTCTGTGCCTTTAGATCAGAAGTTCTCACACTGACTGGCATTAGCATCACCTGGAGGAAGGGAGGGAGGGTTTGTTAACACACAGATAGGTGGGCCACATCCCTATAGTTTCTGAAGCTGTTGGTGTGGGGTGGATAATTTGCGTTTCTAACAGGTTCCCAGGTGGTGGTGGTGGTGCTGCTGGTCTCAGAGCAAAAACCTTAGTTGACTTGCAAAATATTTTCGTGACAGTAAGAACACCCACAGACTCACACAGTATGAGTTAAGTCTGTAATCACAGTGAGTCTGCACCGGGACAGAGTGGCAGATCAGCTTTGGGTGTCTTTTTACTGGAGGGTCAAAATGTTTTGAGCTGGATCTAGCAGGTGAAAGGTGTGAATTTGCTGCAGGCGGTCAGGAGAGTGTGGGGAAGGCTGGCACGGAGCCTGCTGTGTTCAGGAAGTGGCAGCACAGATAGAGGCCCTCTCACCCCTCAGTCTTCAGCAGGAGGAGGCCCACAGAGCCTGGTGATTGTGTGCGCTGGGGGAGGGGCAGCTATCCCGGAGGGAGCAGCTGGGGTGAGGCTCCAGAGAGAAGGTTTACCCCATCCCAAGCGGGCCAGGCCCCCTCACTTGGGCTGCAGCCAGCCAGGGTCATAGCGCTGACACTGCCTGGTGTCTGGCTAACAGGCCTCCCCAGGCCGGCAGTGGGGGCACTGCTGCCTGCAGCTCTTGCCAAAGGTGCCAGGAGGGCCGGGGTGGTGGCACTGGGTCCCATTCCAGGCCAGCCTGCAGGACTTATAACTGCCTGTGTCTGCAGTTTGCAGGGGCCACAGCTGAGAAGAGAAGGTGGTCACGGGAGCACTGGGAGGCTGGGAGGCAGACAGGTGATGTGTCCACCCAGGCCCTCAGGGACACTGGAGAGCATCCAGTCTCCTCACTCTCATCGCTCCCCTCTCATCCCTGTCTGAATCCTACCCTCTTCAGATTAGAATCTGAAGTCCAGGACCTGTTTTTTCCCATGAAAGTGTTTCCCACTGACTCTTGTCCGCTTGGATCCCTTCCTTCCCTGAAGTCTTCCCTTCCTTCCAAAAAACTCCGATCTATCCCAGGCAAGCACTTTTGTTTTATTATCTTTTAAAACAGTTTTTGCTTATTTTTAGTGAGATTGTCAGTTTCTTGAGGCCAGGGGCTACATACTCCACTTGTATGCCTCTTAGACGCTAGCGCAGTGCTGGGGATAGTTTAAGTACTTAACAAATATTTGGAATTGCAGCAGTCCGTTAACTCTTGTAGTGAAAGAACTTGCTTTCCTTTTTTTTTTACCTTCTATTTTCCACTAACCTGAATATATATGGCTTTCCTTCCTTCTTGTAGGAAACCTACAGTAATCAGTGAGAAAACACTCACTTCTCAGAGGCTGGAAGGGGTAAATTGGGATTTGAAACTGGATCTTCTGATTCTAGATCCAAAGTTCTTTCTGCTGTGGCTGTGCTGCTTGCTTTCCAAGTCGGCTAGATGTCATAAAATTCTCCCAGGGCTCCCCACTGCCTTCAGGATGAAGTCTAAGCTTGGGTGTGGAAGACATCACAGCCTGGCTCTGGCCTACCTTTCCACCTCATGCTCGCACACTCCCCTTTGCCCCTTCCATGGGGCTGCGTCCTATGTTTCAAAGAGGGTGGAGGCTAAGGAAGGCAGGGATGGACAGAAAGAGAGCAGCTGCTTCATTTGGTATGCTCACAAGCCGCTACTTTCATTGTTCTTATTATGTAATATATGACTGTGCAAAAGACCATATGTAAAGTCTGTGTGAGTTATTAATCAATCATCCATCTGTGAGCTGATCACTCAACTTGATTAAACCATTATCAACACTGTTCAAGTTCCCTGTGTGCCCCTCACCTTCTTCTGTCGGGCTGAGTGTGTTTTATTTACCACATGCCGCCTCGCCTGCTCTAAGTCTCCCTCCCTCTCTAGAAAAGGCTGTTGGTGCGGGGGTCCCCCCACCTCTCCCCAGGACTGCTGAGGCAACGCTGGATTGCCGCTTGGCCTCATTCGGTGCATTGGACCCTCTTCCGGGGTTTGCTGACAGAGTTCTTAATGCTGAGAAGGATCTCCGTCCCTTGCAGGTCAGGCCGGGAAGCTGATGTACGTGATGCACAATTCCGAGTACCCTCTGAGCTGCTTCGCCCTCTTTGAGAACGGCCCTTGCCTTATTGCCGACACCAACTTTGATGTGCTCATGGTGAAGCTCAAGGGCTTTTTCCAGAGTGCCAAGGCCAGCAAGATTGAGACCCGGGGCACCCGTTACCAGTATTGTGACTTCCTGGTGAAGGTGGGCACAGTCACAATGGGGCCCAGTGCCCGGGGCATCTCCGTGGAGGTAAGGCCTCAGTGAAGTAGGGGCAGATGTGCTGAAGGGTGGCTCTAAAAGATCCCCACCGCCTCTGAGTGCGAACAAATGTTTCTAGCTACCTGGGTCCTGTCTGCAGAGCAGCTGCCCGTCCTCTCCCTGCGTCGCCCTTTACACTTTCTTTAATCAGGTAGGGACTCTCTAGCCCAGGATGGGAACGAGAAGCAAGGTTCACAGCAGGCAGAAAGCTTAGGAAGGCTGGCTCAGTAGAGATGAGGAGGGCAGGTAAATTATGATGTGCAGGGACAGTCACCCATCACAGGACGGACTGGAGCAGACCAGGGCGACTTTTCAGTGCAGTTCACTTTGGGGAGGTGGCCCCTAAATCCTGTGTCCACACCCCTCTCCTTAGTATGCGCTAAGGTAGTCTCAAGTTGTGGAGCAAAGATGTGCCTTTCCTTTCGACATGCTGTCCACTTTCTCTTGTGGTGGAAAGGGGTGTGAGTGATGACTTCATCTTTGAGGTATATATTGAAAATGGCAGAGGGAGTGTGGCAATAGCCGGCTCTGGGAGCAGTGAGAGTCTGCAGTCAACCGTGGTCCCAGCACCGTGTGAGATAAAAAAAATAAGTAAGCTACAAGGCCTGCGTTTTGAAAACTTACAATTTAGTAAGAGAGCAAGGCCCCAAAACACAAACTGTGTTTGAACTTTGTCTGTAAGAGATGCCATAAAAGAGGCACGGATTGCTCTGGGAATTTAGGCCAAAGAGCACTGCTGAGTTTGGGGACAATTGTGATGCCTCCTGCAGGAGTAGCATTTAAGGAGGGACTTAAAATGTAGAGACGTGGGGATAGTTAAATTCTGAAAAGCGTCCCAGGTGGAGAAAAGGGCATTAGTGGTAATTACTGCAGTGAAACTCCAGGGACCTCTAGGGCCAAGATTCCCTGACCCTGCTCATTTGTGATACACCTGGCATTTGCCGAGACCACTGGGAACCCCGTTTGTTTATACTCCACATTTCCAACTTTCTGGTACAAACACACCCTAACTGTTTCTTTACTTGTTTCTCCTGATTACCAGTAATTTCCCTCACCATCTCTTCAGTGAAAAATCAGGAGACAAGAATGAGAAAGCCTAGGATGTGTATGCTTTGGCCCCTGTCATGTGGGTTGAGAAATGATCCCTTAGTGTCAGAGCTGAGGCTGGATCTACCTTGGAAGTAATGTTTGGTCTTGAGGTGACTTAATGAGCATATGTCTACTTTGCCCTCTACTGACCCCCTCCCAGCGCGCACACACACCCTCACACACCCCCACACTTTCTCCTGCTCTTCATTTTCTCTCTCAGAATTTTCCTGAGCTCTCCATGAATCTTCACCTAGCATAGCTAGAACTATATAGTTCTGACATAATCAAAAGTGGTCTTGATCTGCCTCTGGGTCTTGTGGGTTGCACTGTGGGTTGATAACCCCAAGATGAGAATGTCGGCGCCTAAAGGGAATGAAGCTGGGTGCATCCAGTCGCTGGTGTTGAGTGGATATTTCCTGTGGAGCAGCACTATGCTGGAAGGTGTGTGTCTTTGGCTCAGGGCTGGGGAAGATGGGAACGGGGGCAAGAGGTGCAAGAGACTCTGATGACCCGTCCTTGCCCTCACTCACCTTCTCTGTTCTTTCGGTCCCCAGGTGGAGTATGGCCCCTGTGTGGTAGCTAGTGACTGCTGGAACCTCCTGCTCGAGTTCCTGCAGAGTTTTCTCGGCAGCCACACGCCAGGGGCTCCAGCAGTGTTTGGGAACAGGCACGACGCGGTCTACAGCCCGGCAGACACCATGGTCCAGTACATGGAACTCTTCAACAAGATCCGCAAGCAGCAGCAGGTGCCAGTGGCGGGGATTCGTTAGTGACTGGCAGCTGCCCGGCTGAGCTCTGTCGCCAGAGGGACTGCACAGGAGGAGCAGGTGCTGCACCCTCAGGCCCCTGGACCCCAGAGGCCCAGGGCAGCCAGGAAGGATTCCCTCCCTCTCCAGTTAACAGCTTTGGCTCCTGTTCTGGGGCTCCGGACTATCTCCCCTGACCCTCCCACACAGCCCTCCAACAGCTGTTTTCACCCTTCACCTTGCTGGACTTGGCCTGTCCTCAAGAATGGTAATTATGAAGAGAGAAGTTTCGAGCTTTCCTGCTTTAGGGGAAAAGGTAGGCTGGGGGTGTCCCTCCTAACGTCAGCGGGGAAAGCAGGCTGTATCACCGACTGCTGAGAATGTGGCCTAGGCCCACGGTGGACGGGCTGCGTGTTGTGTTTGGGTTGTGCTGTAATAAAGGCCTTTCCCTCTGCTCAAAGGATGTGGAGAAGGAGGAGGCACAGCTAATGTGATGGCTATGATTTTCTGACTGGTTGAGCTGAAGTGGCTTGTGGGTTGACTTTTCTTGGGTGTTGCCTGAGTCCTCTGAGGTCATCCTCTGGACATTTTCTATTCTGTTGTGACTTGTACTAAGCCACAGGCTAAGCTGCTGTAACAAGGAGCACCTGAAGTACTGAGGCTCTTAGAAGTTTACTTTTCTGTTTTCTAAAAGTATAAAGGTAATCAGATGGTCCAAGGCAGATTTAACTCTACAAGGTCGTCAGGAAGTCGGTTTCCTTCTGTCTTGTTTAGCCACCCTTGGGGTGTTGTCCTTGGGTGAGTCAAAGCCGACTCATCAGTTCCATGTCCACATTCCACCGGGGAAAGAGAGAAAGCAGTTTCTTTTTTTAAGGATATGACCTGGAGTTGCTCGAATCATTCTGGCCACACTTTACTGAAGTGGACTGTGGGACGTAGAGCCTCTTTTTTGGGTGATTGTGTGCCCGGTTACAACCCTGGGGGTTCTGTAACTAAAAGATGAAGGCGACAATGGGTGTGAGGGCACGAGAGCCCAGTTAATAGCCTCTGCTATACGGAGCTGAATGGATGTGCCTAAGAATGTTCTTGGCTATTATTTTGCAGAGAATAACCTTGAAATTAAGCCATTTGGTCATGAGTTGGATTGGGAAAGGGCTGATGCCAGAGCCACTTTAGCTGGGTTAGTCATACTGGGAAGTCAGTTCCGCACCCCGGGCCTAAGTCTTGGCCTCACATCCTCTCCTGTTCTACACCAGAGTTTAGGGTTAGACAGTTGACTGTGCGTCATGGTTTCCTGAGCTCTTTCTCCTTGTCTCATCTGAGCCTCCAAGCTGCTCATTGGACCTGCATCACCTGCCCACCCCACTCCAGCTGCAGAAATGTTCAGTCAGGCTAACATTGAGGTACAGTCAGAGGTGGTCTTAGGAAACATGTTAATGTACATACCGCAGTGTTGTCCTCAAGGATACTGTCCCCCAGTGAAGGCACCTAAAGAGAAATTGTTTTCTGATCTAACGGCTCAGATCTAAATCTATAACAAGAAGCAGGTAGTCGTCAGGTTTCCCTTTTAGCTCTGGCTGGCAGTTCAACTTTGTAACTGTGGAACTTGTCATCTGCATTTTTTATTCTCACTCCTCAACCTCCGCCTACTTTGTTTATTTCTTTGTTTTGTTTTTACTTTTTTAATTTGAGGTATGTCATCAATATTATTTATACCCAATAAAATGCAAAGATTTTTTATGTTTTTGGCCTTCTGACTTATGTTTGCTCTTGTCCAGATTTATCTATTTATTATTTTTCTGTAGGCTGCCTCAAATCTTTTATGAGATGAGACAGCATTTTGAATATAAGGTATTCTGGAAAATATACAGTAAATGTGACTCCAGACTTATGCATTACAAGGAGGGATTCCTAAAAACTAAAAAATAGTATCCATTGGTAGTTCCTGCTCCTTCCTTCTGTGCTGTGCCTTCCCTCTGTGTCTCCTGTGCTGTCCTGGTTCTCTGTACCCCATTCCCATGCTGCCTCCTACTTGCTTTTCTCAGATCTTGAGTACCAAGTAGTCCCATTTCCTCCATTGTGTATTCATGTCACTGCTCCACTGAGGGACCACCTCCAGACTGACCACTCCTCCCTACCCCCAGGTCTGCCCCATGGTATTCCATAAATTGCTAATTCGGCCCAAAATTCAGGAAAATTGCACAAGTGCTTTTCCTCGAGAAAAACATTGTGTTTAGGTAAGGAACAGAAGTGCTTTATGCCTACATCCACTTACTCACATAGAATAGTATTATTGAAAAAAATATGTTCTTACATAAAACAAATAGTTTTTATTTTAATAAAAACTTCATCCAGGACTTCCTTAAAGTGAAACAGGTATTACTTTTTCCTGTGAATAGGTGGCAGTGAAGAATACCTTGACTGCTAGTACAATTCAGTGCCATTGCCTCAATTTGTCTTAAGGCAGCAACAATTTTACCTTTAGTTACTTTTGTATCATTAATGCAAATGTCATCACAGTGACAAAGGCAAATAATGTCTTACTATGAAAATAGTTTTGATTTCAGGGGGACACCCTCCTCCGCCATAAAAAAAAAGTCTGCAGGGACATCAGGGCTCCACAGGACACACTTTGAGAACTACTGGTCTAACACATGCTCAGAGCACTTGGAATCTTTCCCCCCTGGATTGCTGTTTTGAGAGCACCCCTTCAGAAGTCTCAAGTGTCTCCAAAAATCCACTCAAAAAAGCACCAATTATGTGTTAGGCACTTTGTTAGGGAAATAGCATCGAGTAAGATACAATCTTTTTTCCAAGAATTTTCTTGAAGGGTTGGGGAGTAATTAAGGAGTTACAGTGTAAGATAAGAATGCCTTAAAGAAAATTCTGTTAAGGTGTTAGACAACAAAGGGGATGCTAAATTTTAGGTTTAACTCTGAGCTCTTGAGCCACATAGCAATTTCTCATCAAACCAATCCATCTCAGGCCTCTCCTTCAATCAAACGTCTTTAAAATGTTTAAGTTAGTTACCTTTGGAAATGTTTCACAGGCTTGGCTCCAGGCATAGTAGTTTCATGCTAGTGGTACACATGCACATGCTCTTCCCCGCTTCCTATTTTATTTGTTGTTGTTCTTTGACTTTTCTTGCTTCTGTATTTCATATTTACAAGTGTGTAGCCTTGAGCCAGTGTAGCTGGTGATGCATGTTTATTTCTTTTCCTTGCCCTTGTGTTCAAATTTAAGCCTTTTACCTTTTTCGGTCTTGGATTGGGGTTGGGTGATGTAACAGTGTTGGTCTTCTTTGGGGGAACGTCACCCCGCCCCACTGCCTGCCCTGCAAGTTATGTCAGGACAGTGCACCCCGAAAGGCTGCTTGGGAAGGAAGCCTTTTCTGAGGCAGAGAAGACTTGTGGAAATAGCCCGCAGTTCGTTGCCTGGGGTCTCCATCCCCACCATCTGTTGAACTTCTTCAGTTTACTGCTGCGAACCAGTTCCTTGGGGGATTTCCATAAAACAGCAAAATCCCGCCTGGGCCATCAGTGGCAAAAGACGTGTGCTCACCCGCCTGGGAGCCTAAAGTAACTTTTGCAAACGTTGCCTCAGGAAACTCCACAGTTCGGAGGCTGCTTCTTTCGGACAGTCAAAAATAAAGTCTTTTAACAGAAAAAAAAACAGACTGGATAGTGAGGAAGGTTTTACCCCCTCGGGAGTGGGAAGAGATGTTAAAGGAGCTCCAAAAGGAGTGCGAGGAGCCGTTGTAAAATTCCTTTACTGTTCCGCGGGCTGATGGGCTGGGGAGAAGGGGGTGGAGATGGGCTCGGGTGAGTCTCTGGCCCTTTAAGGAGGAGGGACAGCCGTAAGACTCTGTACCTTTAAGGGTCTCTTTGTCTGGAAACCTTCTTATTTACCATCCTGTGCTTCAACCAAACTTCGACCGGCGATTCACAACGGCCCTCTACGCCGCCGCCCCTTACGCCAGGCTCAAATCGGCCGCGCGTCGGTGGCTGACCCTAAATTTGGCGGCCGCCGCGTGAACCCTCGGAGAGGATGTCTGTGCGGGGTCGCG